GTACGCGTTATAATAAAATTCCAGTATTTATTTTGATAAAATATAGCTGTTAAAAATTCGTAGACGATGTGTTTGCCAGATTCAGAATGAACAGTATATCGATCAAGATTTATCAATAAATCGCAAACGACAGTCATTAAGACGAACTAGAAATCTTGATATATATTCACTGATTATTTTCAATCAAGATTTGGCACCATTAGTTGAATTTCAAATTAAATTGAAAAATTTGCTTGATTATATAACAATATTTGATACTGAAGACGATATCAAGAATTATATTAAAAAAAATGACTCTGATTTTATTATACTTATTGCCTCTATCGATTATGTAAAGCAGTCATTAAATATACAAATATATATAGGTGCAATTCTTCTGTTGATCAACACCCACACGCGCACCCTGGTTTTTATGAATCTGATTCTGTGTTGTTACCTATTGAAGATTATCAAAATGAGCCTATAGTGTCATTAGAAAAAGTAGCTGTGCCACCCTTCATTATTTTCGATAAAACAATACTTCAGACAAACATATGGGTTGCAAAATAACGTTGTAAGAAACCAACTGAGGGCCTCTCACAAGACGAATCAGCTTCGATTATGCTATATACATTTGAATGAACACAAAAGAAAGTAGTCTATATTGTATTCTTAATCCAACTTTACGAATGGAAGATAGACAAAAGCTCAAACCATAGTTTCTATAGTTAAAACTATTTATTACTGTACTCTCTCGACTTCCATCGATTGTTGATACTGTCTATCGAGGTGTAAAAGCTGATCTAACCGATCAATATGACCCTAATACTAATCCAATTTGGTGGAGTGTTAATTCATGCACAGACAACTTTGATACTCTTCAATCAAAAAATGCACTAATGAAGAATGCCTAGCATATCAGCAAGAAGTTGTTATTTTCATCGGTTTCAGAAAATTTGATGTTCTGCTTGATTCGGATGCATTAATTGTTAAATGTCCAATGTGCTCAAATTACGTTAAAATTCTAAAAGTAAGTTTTAGCCATTGTCAAAGGTATTGGTATGATATTAAAGAAACAGTACCTTATTAGAGGCCCACATGTTGCACGAAAGACTGGTCTTATACTGATGAGTACTCAATTTTTGAGCATAATATTCAAGGAATACGTGTTTGGTTACAATTAATTATTGAGGCAAAACCAAAGTCGTAGTCTTTTGATTTCCATACCAACTGTTGTGAAATAGTCTATCAAATACAAAAGTTAGTTATGCAAATAAAAAGCAAAGAGTAACCTTGAGGATATTGTAAAATGTGTGCTTCAAAGGATGTTGGACGTCTATGTGTTTAAGAGTGTGGATATGTGAGTCTCGGTGATTAAAGAGAAAGCACTCGCACATGCTCACACCAGTGTCAGAGTACAAAAATCCTGCTTTGCAACACAATGCTTGTATCATCAGTCAAGATCAGCGTTTTTGAGGCAAGAATATTGATTATGGAAGAGATTTTTCAAAGTCAGCAATGACACTTGAATTTTTGTCTAAAATTTGTATAATTTTCAACGTGGTATTGCAACATTTGTTAAATTGTGACGTTTATCAATGAAATTGATGATTGGTCTAAACAATATTTTATAAAGCGTATATACGACATCGCGCTCCAGTGAGAAAATGTTTTTTTCTTCAAGCAGCTTCTATGAGATCGTTCTTTTTTTTAAAAAGTTCTCTAAAATTACAATCAAAATTATCATATTCGTCTGGTTTCCTAACTTACCATTTAGAATTTGACGCAACATTTTTCTAGTACAAAAAGACATACTATCATTTTATTCTTGAGGATGTGAGTATGAATATGGGTGATCCATGTTCTCCCACCGCCAACCTACACTCCACAATTTTTAATTGATTATCATTGAAAATAATCAATGAAATTATGATTTTTCAGTAATTGTTTTTTTAGAATAGATTAAAATCAATGAAAAGGGCGTATTCACGCAGATCGTTGTTTTTCTTTTCCGTTTCTATCTGATCATTAAAGCTGATTGAATTTTAATTTTTTTTATTCGTCAAAGATACCTGTAATAAGTGTTGAGAGTTTGTCACGAGAAGAATTTCTGAATTTAATTTAAAAAACAATGATGCTGTTGAGCTGATGCCTAAAAAATTCATTGTAATGAATACTGTTCATATCAAACAGAATCTTTTATATAACTATAGATGTGTGATAGCAGTTTTCAGCTTGATTCTGATCTGAATTTACGGAAGGAGATCACACCTGAGACTGGAGATCAAAGTTAAATATTCTTTTTTTTTTCAGTCAATCATCTTTAAGATTTCACTTATGAAAACAAGTGACATTCAGACACGATGTGCTTGCTGTTGTTAATATACACAGATATTGTTTTATTCTATCTATTTTGGAACACATTTGGGCAGTATCTTTTACTTAATACTGCCGAAATGTAATGAGAAAATACTTCATATATTAGAAAGAGATGTTATGCATATGCTGCATTCTGCCATCGTATATCAACAATAATATGTTATCAATTGCAGGCAAACCAGCCGACTGTACTCCATCACTGCGATATATTCATTGTCTTTTTGGTTTTATTTCTCTCTGTGATATTGTCATGATAATTCGTACTGATAAACATGAATAATCGATAATCATATTAGCAAAAACTTTTATGTTACTAGCTTTTTTTTTATTATATTAAATAGGTTTTGTAAAATCGGAAAAGGAAAATATTTTATTTAGAGTAATCTGTTAAAATTTGTAAAAACATCACACAGAAATAAAAAATTGGTTATTCATAAGCTTGGTAATTTGAATTTTTTAACGTTGACGAACTGAACTGGCACGGATGGCTACACTTGATTCATGCTAAACAAACAAGAAAATGTTACAGGTTATTTTATTTATATAAAGATATTAACTTACAGTTTCAGAGGTACGACTGACACTAACTGATGATCGACTTTTGGCGCGAAATTTTCCAAGTTGGTTTTCAGCTAAATCAGCACGTTCAGCTGATTCTTCTACAAAATAAAATAAAATCGAATTTTCAGATATTTGTTTTTTTTTTATTAATTAACTAACCAAGTTCTACTTGAATTTTACGAAATTTAGCTAAATTCATTGCAGCAATTTCCTCTATAAAACAAAAAATGTTTTGAATGTAAATGATGATTATTAAAAAAGAAGAAAAAAACAAGTCTATTTACCAGCTTCTTCGACTTGACGTTTATAGACTTTAACTTTTGATTGTAATTTTTCAGTAAGATCTTTTAAACGTAATTGATTCTTACGATCTTCTTCAGTATGAAATGCAAGTTCTTTCAAACGTCGATCATTTTTACGTAATTCCTTGAGTGTTTCTTGATGACGACTTTGTTCTAATTCATTTTCAGTTTCTAATTCATGAATCTAAATAAATAGAAAAATAAAAGAAATATTTTCTTTTAAGACAATTACAAAAATTCATGTATCATACGCGTAGTTCAAGTTTAGCAATAACACGTTTTCCACCTTTAAGTGAAT